TCCCTTCTCCTCCACCCCGTCTACGAATATTCCCTTTGCACAACAATAAATTTTATTCTACCACGTCACATTACGTAAACCATGCATTCTGAAAATTTCTCTTCGCGTCGTTCTTCCAGATATTCTTTTGCGCTAGCAGAAGACAAATATTTTGCCAATAGTAATTCCCACGGTGACGTTCATCCCAACGTTCCCAGCACATATCGGCACGCATTCATAAAACGAGATCCTTCGCTCTCATGGTCACGTGTAAACGGAGGTCCCTCTACGTCGCGTGGCAACGGTTTTTCGCCTTCGAGATCCAACAATGTTTCAAGGGATCGCAGTTGTATTAACGGTAACGGCGGAAGAGTCACATGCAATAATAGTAACGGAGGAGGGGTCAGGTATAACGGTGACGGAGGAAGAACCACCTACAATAATGATTTCGCTCGTCTTACCGGAGGAGAGATCCTCTCAGAAAGGTTTGATTCATATTACGAATACGGGATAAAGATTATTCTTGTGCGTCTTCTCGTTATCACATCTTATTCGAATATTAACTGTCCACCTTTTCACTATTGATTTAGGACGCCGTCTTGGCAAGAGCTGTCCGAACGAGATCCACGGTATAATGATTTGTTACCTTCACCGGAAGAGATTCTTCTGCAAGAACAAAAGTTGCAACAAGAATTGTCCCAATATAAAAATAGACAATCACGAGTGCAATCGGCACTATTGAATTTTAACGAATTCATCGTTGAACAAACAGAGAAAGATCAATTCCTACTCCAACAATTATATCAATCTCCTCGACTAAATAATAAACTTTCCAATGACGCCGAAAAAAAGACTGAAGAAAAGAATGAATTTTCGAGAGAACAACAGTATCTACTCAATACTTTATTTACAATATGCAAACACATTAATGCCGAATATACAATTAAATCATGGCCAAAGAACAAAAGATATTGTGCAATATTACGCGTTCCCATACTCAAAAGATCGTTTGGCGGATTTAAGAGTACTAAAGAGTTGGCACTGGAAATGGTGGCGGAGATGGCGATCGAAGAATTCTCTAGAAAGATGCCGGAAGTCGCATACGCCGCGTTGGAAATGGAAGGTGCACCGGGTGCTGATGCGTCGAAACGTTTGATTAGAAAATATTTGATGAATATTAGTAATAAGAGGATGAAGTGTGGTGGCCATGTGAATGTGTCCACCGAATACGAAACGGGGCAAAGCATTTATAATACGAAAGGCTTATTAACAGAATTCGAAAAAGGGGATCGTGCAGAAGACTCACTGTTCAGAAATGAAGATGATGAAATGATAGAAAATGATAATGCAGGAGAATGTGATATCATTGTAAATGGAAAGGTTGTTGGGGAAAGCTATGGGACCGGGTATGTCGCGATAGGTGGTAACGAGTCGTCGGAGAATGAAGACGGCGAAGATGGTATGAATTTGCAATCCGACTATGATGATAGTATCGAAAGGAATAAATCCTTACCAGGTTCGATGGAAAAGTACAGTATAACGGTGTTGGCGTGACCGAAGGATGTTATCATAATTTTAGATTGTAGATCTTACTCGACGCTGAAATAAAATTCGCGGAATAAGTCGAATGGAAGGTTTGCGGATTAGGTTTACCGACTAATGAGATTGTAACCAGCTCCAGTGTTTTATAGTCTTCTAAATGGATTTTAATTTCACTGATAAATGAATGTATTAATACAATGTAATAGAAATCCTGTGAGATGTTCGCTGTCATATTGTATAACAACGGTTCCTTTCTAACTTTATGATTGTACGCTTGTTATCAAAGAAACGGAATCCATATAAAGTTGTAACTTGAGAATTTTATCATTGATGAAGGATTAATTGATTTATTTGAAAAAAAATATATTTACAATCGAACGAGAAATGTTTGATTTTTCCATTTGCACCCAGGTCAACTAGAGACACAGCATTTATTAAAATTTCAAATCACACATAATTATTACTGCGTTAAAAAATTTATTATTTATATCAAATCGTTAAGTTAATTCTTTCCAGTTGCAAATGATTATTATTCTCGCTCGGATTTGCACAAAGCAGATGATAAACCCAAAATCGTAACAGGAATGTGTGCTGCCCATACTTAAAATAATGATAAGTTTTATCCACACATTGTGAAGTATGTAACCATGTTCTTATCGCAAACATCACAGGTTGTTGAGAGTACGCGGCCGTGTCCTAAATCCCAAACATCACACATTGTAAGGGTGTCCAACTCAATTACACAGTGTGGAGAAAAAGAGAATAACAGATAAACAGGGACTCTATATTCTTAATCGAGTACTGATCTCAAGAATAGAATTCAGAATGCAGCACTGTACAATTTCATGGAATCTATAACCGCTGCATATAGAAAACTGTTAAAAAATAAGAGCAACCTATATAAAATCATATTCAACAATATTATACAGTATATTACCTCAAGATCTATGGTCTCAAAAGTATCTGATTACTTTGGAGGGAAAGTCAAATAATATGCCTATACAACTGCCCAAATAATCAAAGTTTAATAGGGATAACAATAACAATAAAGCTTAAACAGATATAAGTAAAATAATGAAAATTGTATAATTTGTTAATAACAAAATTATTGAGTCATATCATTGATAGATAAAATTTTCTTCTTAATATACTTATAGTGGTTAAAAAACTATATAAAATCTTTAAGAATTAGAAGTACTGTAGCATAATATTTTTTTGAATAAAATCAAGACAATTTGTCAATAAGATCTTGTTAATAAAAAAATATATTAAAAAATTATGCAATTACTCAAAAACAATAAACTAATATATTTCAATTAATTTTTTTTTTTTTTTTTTTTTTTTTTTTTTTTTTAATCCACAATTATGCCACTTTGGTGTATCTTTATTAAGATACTAAAAGATACTAAAATATTTTACAGACTTTCATAAAGTGACTAACTCATCATTGTACATTATTAGTTGAAGGACTATACTACTTAAAAAATATGAGAAGTCCATTAAGCTAGTTTAAATTAAACAAAACTAAGTTTAAACTAGGTACTCTAAGTCAAATTTAGGGGACAGTATTATGTTCTCTTAGTAACTTGATATAGTACCTTTAAATTAACTAAGGTTATTATCAATAGTTTATTATTGTTAATTATTTCAAAAAATAATAAATTGCTAAAGTATGGTATTGAGAAAAAGAGAAACAAAAAAATACAATTTAAAGTTTTCCAAAAGATTCTTGTTTCATTTTATAGTTTCCTCTCGACAGGGGTTTGCTTGATTGAAATATCCTTTAATCTTCATGATATTTGGGAAATTTAACCATTCCTGAAAGTGACTTCAAGAAGAATATTTGAGAAACTTATCCTTTTGTTGATGTACAAATTCGTTTAATGTTACTGAATCCAGCACCATATTAT